TCTTTTATCTTATGCCTTAACAAATATATTAAATTAGTTCAAAATCAAAATATGCAAAAACGTGTATTTTAAAAAAAATACTATTTTCCTGCAAAGGCACAAGATTTTCTTTTTTTTTTAATTAAACATTTCTATCCTTAAAACCAATCTGTTTTTGAGGATGCGGTATAGGCTCCTCGTTCCTAAATTTTTATGATTATACCCTGGATTTGACTCCAGGGTATGGCTGCACAGTTGTTCCAAATGTAGGGTTGTGATTTGTGGAGAAAATATTGAGTAATTTGATCAAATTCTTTTTAAAGGGCTAGCTAGGGGATTAATATAGAGTGACTCATTTCCCCGACTAAAATGCTATGTGAAAGAGAAGTCTGCTTATTTTTGAATACAAAAATTTGTTGAAACCTGTGTAATCGTATTTTTCACATCTTATAGCTGACATTGAATCCTTTCACCTTCACTATTAATTAGAATGGCAAAACAGGTGGTGAGGACCCAGCTCCCTTTCCAGTTTGGATCTACCTCAGATTAAGCAGTTGGGTGCTAATTTATTCAAATTATCATTGAGACTGTCCAAAGTGACCAAACAGTATGTGATGACTTGTCATTTGAAGACAAGGACAATTTGGAGTTTCCTCTTTCTTAGAAAACAACCTATGGATTATTTTTGTCTTGGTGCCTTTTATGTTGTGAGTCCCAATGCATAGCAAAATCAAGTCATACTCCTATCTGAGAAGTGAATTCTTTATCAGAGAAAAACTGCAAACTGTCAGGTTTTTAAAAAAAAGAAAAAAGAAAAAAAAGTATCTTTTGCATATTAAGCTATAAAAATGTGTAACGTAATAGAATGCTGGTAATGTGGAAAGGTTTCTTGAAATTAAAAAACAACAACAACAGATATGGATACCTTGATCCCAAACTCTTCTGCGCATGTGCTTGTATGGTGAGGCCCAGATGTTTTTGACCTAGTTGCCCAGGACAAGGGACCTGGCCATTTCACCAGGGGCCTCAGCCAAGCCCTGAATGGGCTGCCCCACAGAAGCAAATTTGCTCCTCTCTTTAAAACAGATTGCTGCCTTTGGGTGATCAGAATAACTGTGTCTTAGGCCAAGATCTTCTTGAGCATCCTGTGGTTCTTCTTCCCTTTACATGAGCAGTGAGATCCACAGGAGGCTCGTCAAGGGAGGCGGCCTGTTTCATCCAACATGGAAGACTAGGGTTAAAAGTCCCTTCCGTCTGCCTGGAATCCCTTGACCCCAGTCCTGGTTTGGGTGCTTCAGAAAGCTATAGAGAATTGTGTGTCAAAGGGATGGCTGAACAGCCTCAGCTTATTGAGATTTGCTAGTTTTGGTGAGCTGTGTGTGTGTGAAAATGTGTGTGTATATATATACGTGACTAATATACACTCTACACATGACTGTATATAATAAGTGGAAGTGGAGTATGAGTCTATGTCAGGAAAGGGAATAAAACATCAGAGTAACGTTCTGCATGATTGAATACCCTTTTATATAAAAGGTTTTTTTTATTATTTTTGTGGGAGATTGAGTTGTAATAGACTATTTTTTTTAATGGAAATTTGACTTTATAAACAGAAACCAATACAGCATGGAAATCTTTTCCTTTAAAAACTGATTCATTTTAATATTGGTGAAAAAAACCAAAATGCTACATCCGAAGGAGTTTATTTGGTTTGCTGCAGAAAGACTCAAACAACAAGAAAACTAATGTGCTACAGAACTGCCCCAACGGGTCTATTAGAAAAGCTATATTTTATAAAAGAGTAACCATCCTTTTCATATGCTGCATATACACGATCAGTATCATTGCACTTTTTCAGTAATGTCCTGTAAATTGGCTTACGGTAAAGAATTTTAAAATGTTTTTAATATACCATAGTACTTTGGGCAGAAGGTAAGAAGACTTACAGGTACCTCAAGATTGAAACACGAGCCTGAATATGCTGCATTTTGTTCCTTTTATTTCATAGAGCTTTTGGGTGGG